GCCATTTTAATACTCATGAACATTACCCACTGATTTCACATATCACTCTAAACCGCTTCGTATCACCAAGTTTATACTACACATTCTAAATCACAGATTTCATTTGAGTTGAATTTATTCAATCTTCTGTCAATAACACTACGCAGAGATCATCAATCTACCTGAACCTGAAGTGTAATCTCTATTCTTTTCAACAAAAAAAAAATTGCACAACACGAAAACATTCCGCGACAACCTTTCAACACGACGAAAACTTTCAAGAACTGAACTCAAAAACGGAAATGCAAATGAAATGTTCTAATGAAAATGAAAATGAAATCTGTAAATCTTACTGTCAATAATTTTCAATTTGCCCAGCAAATATATGATCGGATCTCGAAACAACGGGAACAACGCATGTATCAGTAGGAAGAATGCACTGGCAATGCCGTAGAATGTCATGACGGCAAGAATTGTGGCAAATATCAACAGAATACTATCGAAATGAACCATTTCTGCGTTTCGTATCTGAAATTTTCCTAATTTTCCATGAAAAAATGATAACTTTTCTTTCAAAAAAAAAATCGCTCATTCCAATTCAATTCATCACTCACAATCGTTTCACACTCTCCCGTTACCAACACCTCTCTCACTCTACACAAATACCTTAACTAACAATGAACCAACCGAAAACAAACGAAAAAACAAAAGAGAAATGAATACAATTTTTCACTTTAAAAAGTTCCTTTCCAACAATTTTCTACTCTTTACTTCGAGCTTCTATTTTTTGAGTTAATGGAGGTGATGAGATTGATATCGAGTTGATTTTGATTGATATTAATATTAAATTATTAACGATAAGTTGATTGATATTAAGATATTAAGTTGATATAAAGTTAATTTTATGAAATTGATATTAAAGTAGTGGGATTGTAAATTAATTTTTGAGTTAATGAAGGTGATGAGATTGATGTCAAGTTAATTTTTGTAGATATTAATATCAAGATATTAAGTTGATTGATATTATAATGTTAAATTGAAATAAAGATAATTTTACTAAATTGATATTAAAGTAGTGGGATTTTAAAACAATTTTTGAGCTAACGAAGGCGATGAGATTGACATCACGTTAATCTTTATACGTATCAATTTCGGGATATTAAGTTAATTGATATCGATTTGATTGATATTAAAATGTCAAGTTGATATTTGAACCACAACTGATAATTTGACAACAAATATGGATGGAACACAAAATTTCTGCCTAACACTACTGACCTTTGAACGTTGTGCAATGATGGTGTGTGCAGTACAACCGGCCAAAAGCATCGGGAATATGTAGAGTGGAAAGACCAGTTCGGGTAGTTTATACCAACACATTACCAAGTCCAACTTTATCACCGCCATCACAACCAATAGACCAGTGACTACAATAATCACAGCACGATTATCAACCATAGCAAACGAAAATCACAGTAACACATGTGATAGCATTATCAAATGCAATAATATTATGGCATATAGCAGTTTGCACAAGATCTAACACTGCATAATCTGACAATAAAAATCATAATTTTAATAATGATAATAATGGTGATGATAATGATAATAATGATAATAATGG